GGAGTGGAGGAAAACGAGATTGAAATTACAACCAGGACAATATTATGAGAAATTTAGATACCAAGCTGAGAAATTAACTTGAACCTGTAGGTCTGGATCCAGAGAAGTTAGAGTACAAGACGTGGGTAGCTGTGGACAGGAAGTGCAGGTTGGCTATGCCACCCCAGCCAGGTGTGCTGCACTGGGATCCCGGGAAATGTTTCCTTGTCCTTGGGCAACTATCTCCTTGTCAGTCCTACCTCCCTATATCTGACAGGGGACACTTTTCTTAGGCTAGACTTTTTAGGTCCACAGCTTGTTTTTACCATCAGTATTTGAAAAATGAAATCTTTTGGGTTCACCTATGCTTTATCTCCCATTCATTAAATCCAAAATTGGAACTCTGTCTTGCTGCTCTGGATTTTTTCTGCTCCATGTTCCTTTCCAGTCTTATTTCTCATTACATTCCCCCATCTCTTACGTTCCTACACACCCTACTTTCCAGCAACCCAGAGTGCTCAGTGCTGCCCCAGATGTCCTGCCTCTGGGACTTGACTTGCTGTGCTCTTGCCCCCAAAGGTCCCAGACTGGGACGTTTATTCTCGTTAAAACCCCACCCATCCTCTAAGGCCTAGCTGCTCATTCAAAGGATGTCATATTTTTTTCCTTGATGCTTCCCCTCTCAAGACAGGATTAATCTCTGACTTGTCTTGGCTCCTTTTTCTCTCTTAGGACTGTCACCTACTGAGCTGTTGGTTTATGGGCATCTGTGGACATGGCTAGACCCAAAGGTCCCTAAGGGCAAGAACTGGCCTCAGCAGGCCCTGTAATACTGAGCAGTGCTGTGGACACATAGGGCATTTTTAAATGAATTGATGAATGATTTTTAAAATTGAATCTTGAAATTGAAAGCTTTTAAATATTCCCGGAAAGCTTTGTCTCCTTTCCCTGCTTTGCTCCTTCAGAGGCGGTCTGTAAAGTACATATTGTCTCCTACCACATCTCCAACACCTCCCGATTTAGCACCAGCTCCAAGTGTCCTTTACTTGTAGATTATTTTCTTTCAGATAGCGATGAAGATGTTTAGTTAGAACATAGTGAATAACAGCTCCCTCGGAAGGCTACGGCTTGGAAATAAGCAGAGGATAAACATCAATGGGAATTAATCGGTCTTCAGGAGGCAGGGAAGGTGGAGAGCTGTAGAAATGAAAGGAATGTCAGTTAAGTGATTACGAATGTGTACCAAAGAGAACAGAGTGATGTTTAACTGGGAGGAACGTGCAGCTAATGTGGGAATGGAGAAAAGTCTTAAATATAAATGTTTAGGAAGCCCATGAGACTGTGGAAGTCTTACCATTGAACAAAACTTGGCTGAGGTGGGGAAATGGAGAGAGGGTTAATGGAAAACAAAATAGTCAGACATGAGAGAAATATGATAGCCTAGAAGGCCAGTGTCATTTGGGGCTAGATCGGAAAAGAAATAATTCAAAATTAAAGGAGGGAGGAAGGGAGAATTACTGGAGCTTGGGAAAAACATCATTTTGGTGTCTATGATATCCTCATGTTAGGGCTCTGAAGTTCTCATTAAGCAATATTGATCAGCCCCCTATATTTTAAAGGGTCTTTTTAGACCAAAAAACCAAGGTAATCTCTGTTCTCTTGCCACCTCACAAATCAATTAATGAGTTATTTTTACAGTAAAAGGTTCTGAACTCCAAGAGTTAGACATGAGTAAGAAGAGGTTTTCCCAGACTTTTTAATTTTCTTCTCAGATAGCAGTAAGTTATAAGTAGATCCTACTGGCACTAGTTCCTTGGCTTTCTGCTGATGAGATTTCTCCACTTGAGCTATTTAAAAGAACAGAACTGGAGGCCTACTCTATCTCAGGGGGGTGGGGTAGCTAAGGCAGGTTTGTTCACAGTAAATCTCTAAAGACGCGTCCTGGTCATTGCTGCTTTTTTGTGAGCTGACCTGGCTCCTTTCTCCAAATCTGTCATGAGAAGTAGTGATCGAATACAGTTATAATATTTCTTTACTTGCTCAGGGGCATCAAAAGTGAGCTTTCTGGCTCTGCACCTGTAGTACAGTGGTTACGGCACCAGCCACATGCACAGAGGTTGGCGGGTTCGAGCCTAGCCCGGGTCAGCTAAACAACAATGACAACTGCAACAACAACAACAAAAATAGCCAGCGTTGTGGTGGGTGCCTGTAGTCCCAGTTACTTGGGAGGCTGAGGCAGGAGAATCTCTTAAGCCCAAGAGTTGGAGGTTGATGTGAGCTGTGACGCCATGACACTCTATAGAAGGTGACATAGTGAGACTGTCTCAAAAAGAAAAAAGTGAACTTTCCTTCCTAATGAAGTCATTATAGAGTAGCAAGAATACATAAATTCTGCAGCACATAATGCAAAGACTGTAGAATACCTCATGTTTTTGTCTCTTCTCGAGTTTTAAATTATATATGTTGTCTTTGGGAAGAAAATATCTTAAGCATTACTATACCTTGCTTCCTAAAGACAATTTATAAAGTCGTTCTGGTCAAGATGAAAAAAAAAACATTTTGATAATGTAAATGATGAAGATACTCTTGGCTTGTTTCACAGGATTGTCAGAGAATCCTTTCTCTATCTCTTCAACTAAATGTGGTACCCTCCTTGCATGAAGATAACACCAGCCCAATATCAGCAGGGTTTGACCTGTGGTGATTTTTTCCCATGGAAGTAGCTAAAAGGGGAAGCTATCGTTTGTGTCTGGGTAGAATAAAATTCGAGAAAAAGCATCGCATTGGGAATGCCCACATTCTTGAATGAGGATAGGGTAAAATCTTATTTTGGGTTATTTTTCTTCCTAAGGTTACAATACTTTTAAGATCATTGGAAATGGTTTATGCAATGCGAGCCAATACGTCTCTGCAAGGTTTAAACCGTAAAATGTGCTGCGGCTGAAGTTTTTTTTGTGCAGAATCAAAAGGTATGTGTGAAAAGCAGATCTGGGGGAGGTGTTGGATACATTTTCAAGTTGGATTTACCCCAAAGCAAAATATTTTGATGCTGTTAATATGTATGTTATTCATCATAAGAGACATTATTTCTCGAATTGCTTCACAGTGTGCATTTGAGTAACAATTTAATACTTGATAATTGAGGTAGCCAGATACATATTATTTATGAACCATTTAAATGACCCACACCATCCGCTAAGCAATATATCTGTGGGGGAATAAAATGGTAGATACTTTTGATTGATTAGGCATAGACATTTAAACTGAGATTTAAATGACAAGAAGAAGTGAACCATTGTGTACATGCAGGAAGACCCTTTCCAGGTAGGGGAAGTGGAAAGGTATTAAAGTAGGAGTGAAATTGGTTTGTTAGAGGACCAAAAGGTCAATGAGGCTGGAGTGGAGGTGTCTGGGGAAAGTGGTAGAACATGAGGGGGTGACAGGGTGTAGATCATGTAATACTTTGCAAGGCTGGATGAGGAATTTAGATTCAGTGCTTAATAAGATGGGAAGCTATTAGTATAAATTAGGGGGAAATACTCTGGCTGGTGGAGAATTGTGGATTAGAGAAAGGCAAGAGAAGATGGGGTGGAGATTAAGGCACAGATATTAAGTAGGCCAGGGTACCTGTCCAGGACTGGGGAGCAGTGGAAGGAAAGAGGGTGTGGCGAAAGAAGCCAGAGGAGCAAACAGGCGGGACTGGTCTCTGGTGTAAGAGGAAAAGCATCACGTCTATAGAAACTTTCATTTGCATTCAGGCTGTAAGGACCCTAACCTTAAAAAAAATGAAAACCAGGGCTGGGTGCAGCAGCTCACGCCTGTAATCCTAGCACTGTGGGAGGCCAAGGAGGGTATAGTCTGAGCTCAGGAGTTCAAGCGCAGCCTCAGAAAGAGATAGACCCTGTCTCTAAAAATAGCCGGTGTTGTGGTGGGCCTGTGGTTTTAGCTACTTGGGAGGCTGAGGCAAGAGAATCACTTGAGCCCAAGAGACTGAGGTTGCTGTGAGCTATGACGCCACTGCACTCTATAAAGAGTGATAAAGTGAGACTGTCTCAAAAAAAAAAAATAGAAACCAGTGTTTTCAGATGTTACCAAGGACCCGGATCACCACTGACATGAGCTCTCTGGAGATAGTTCCCTAATCAGGGGACTCCTTTACTTTTTTTCTACACTGGCTTCTTGGATGCCAGGGGCAGGTGGTGGCTAGGAAGGGTTCTGGGGGAGGGTGAATTTGCCCTGAATAAAAGCTGAGATACTGTGCACAGTACCTGGGCAGCCTCACAGTTGAAAGGGGAGGAACGGGGAGCCTTAGTTTACTGTGCTGAGGGCCAAGAATTTTACACACCTTCATTTCACTGTACTGCTAACTGTGTGAGGTATCTTTTTAATCCCAGTCCTACCAAACAAAACCAAAACCAAAAACAAACAAAACAAACAAACAAAACAAGCTAAGGCTTGGAGAATTTCTTTATTTTGCTCAAAGCCATGTAACTCCGGGACTGGAACCAAAGTCCTGTTCTCTGCGCTCCCCACAACGCTGCGGATCTGGCCTGGTCTGCTTTCCTCTCTTCTTTTCATTCCATCAAAGAACTCATTGTGGGGAGGGCCGTGCTTTCTCCTTTAACGTGCTTTACTTGACTCCCCACCCCACAGCGTGGCTGCTAAGATGCTCCACAAACGTTGACTGTCTGAGGCCATTCTCTTTTCCTGGTGCCACACAGGTGCTGGGATGGGAGGCGAGGCGGGCCGGGCGGACGGCACCGCTGCTGGGTGGTGGGCAGCAAGGCTCCTGCCTGCGTTGCCCCGAAGGCATTTTCCATTTCCTGGGCCCCTCCCGCTTCCCATCCCTCACCTTTCGCCCCTCTGGCTTCAGCTGAGGCCCCTCAGGGAACATCCCTTGCCTCGGGGCTGACAGCATTTGGGGGCGCGGGGTCCTGTTCTCTTCGCTTTGCAGAGCCTCGTTCCCCGGCGCCGGGAGCCCGGCGGGCATTGACGTCAAGCGCCGGCGAGCGCTGCCTACGGACGGTTGACCCAGGCCCTCCTCCACACCCCCTTCCTTCCGCGCCCCCTCCCTCTTTCGCGCACGGGGGCTCGGCTCACTATAAAAGGCGGGAGCACGGAGTGCCCCGGCAACGACGAGTTTCAGCACCATGGAGAGCCCCCGCCTGCGGCTGCTGCCCCTCCTGGGCGCCGCCCTGCTGCTGCTGCTACCTCTGCTGGGCACCCGCGCCCAGGAGGACGCCGAGCTGCAGCCGCGAGCCCTGGACATCTACTCCGCCGTGGAGGACGCCTCCCACGAGAAGGAGCTGGTCGGTATTCCCCTCGCCGCGGACCCCTCGGGCTGCCGCGCGGTCCCTTCCTTTGCACGCCTGCCCCCCCACCCCACCCCCCATTCCTAGAGTCTGGGCGCGGGGAGCTGAGCCCGGGCACTCGCTGCCTCCCGAAGATCGTCTCGAGCCCACGGGCTCCAGGCAGTCTGGAGAGCGAGCCCCTGGTCCCGGCCCCTCAGCAACAGGAGCCTCCGCGGCTCCCCGACCTGCAGTCAGCACCTGGGAGAGCGCTCGCGAAGTTTCCATCCCTCCAGCGTCCCCGCGGCCCGCGCGGTCCCTTCGCAGAGCGTGTGTGGGTCGGGGATCCTTACAACTGGGGCTGGAAGTGAGCACCTGGGCTGGGCTCGCGGCCAAGGCGCAACTTCGGGCTCCGGGGCGGTGTGTTGCAGATCGAAGCGCTGCAGGAAGTCTTGAAGAAGCTCAAGAGTAAACGTATCCCGATCTATGAGAAGAAGTATGGCCAAGTGCCCATGGTAAGGCTTTGAGGTCACAACGTTCCCACGTTTTTTACAAGAGAAAGCGTGTCTCCTGAATCTTATACGCGACCTTCTCCTTAGCAGGTGGCTAAATAACTCAGGTATGGGGTTTGCAGGGATCTGAATGCCCCATTTGCTTCCACTGCCAGCGCTTACCCCTTGGTCTCTAAGGGCACAAGGCAGACCAGACCAGCCAGTTTGGGGGAACTGAACAGCTGCGCCAGGAACTAGCTCTAGCATCCGTGTGGGAAGGAGCATTTCCTGAAGATGAGCTTTTAGTTTCACTTCGGGAAGAATTCTTTGAGTTGGATGTGCCCTTGCTCCACCAATTTCTTCCTGCTTCCTTCTGGAGCACAGTCTGATTTATTATATTTAGAACTTAGATTAATAAATCTAAGTTCTTTGGTCACTATCTTGATTCAGGGCTGGTCACCTTTCTTGAAAAGTTCCAGGCAAAATACACAGCGGGCGCACATGTACACACACGCACGCACACACACACACACACACACACACACACTTTAGTCTTCCCTCCTGGGATGACAAAGTGGGAAAGTGGGTAACGGGCATTGTGAGAAAGTCTAAGTCTGTTGTTTATTTCTATTTTTTATGTTTTATTTTTCCTTTTCCTTTGGATAAGCAAGAAAAGGAGCTGGGAAACGCTCCCTCCCCCCCCCCCCAACCTGGAAGAAAGTAGGAGGAGGACCAATAATTTAAATTTCTTTTTTTTAAAAGTCCTCTCACTGTAATTATAAGCACAAAGCTCCCCCAGTTTCAGGCCTAACTAAGGCCTCTGGTGAGGGTGATGGGGTCCAATCTTCCCTCTCAGGAGACAGAAATTGCCTGGGAGACGCGCCCCCTGGGAGTCTGGGTTTGTTCCTTCCCGCTGACCACACGTTGCGTTGTTTGCAGTGCGACGCGGGGGAGCAGTGCGCGGTTCGCAAGGGCGCCAGGATCGGGAAGCTGTGCGACTGTCCCCGAGGAACCTCCTGCAATTCCTTCCTTCTCAAGTGCTTATGAAGGGACCCCCGTCCTTCTCCATGCACCCCCAATCCTCCCGCTTCCTCCTCCCCAGCCTACGGGGACCACACGTTCACCCCGGAATCTGGCTTTAGCAACCAAGTCTGCCTTTCCCTCTGAGGGGAAGGGGCTCTTTTCCTGCTGTTTCAAAAATAAAAGAACACATTAGGCGTGACTGTGTGAAGGATAATGCCTTGTATGGTGTTGACACACGTGCAAAGTATTCCCTTTTTAAAAATTTTATTTGTCTGACAAACCCTTGTGTACCTTTGTGTAAAGAAGGAGAACTTTGGTTTGAAAATTGTATTTTTGTATGTGGCATGGCAGAATGAAAATTAGATCTGGTGAATCTTGGTAGATGACATCACACCTGAAAACTAAATCACCCTACGTGACACACATCGAAGCATGTACAAAATATACATAATAAAGTGTTTTTAATAATTGCTCATTGTGCTTTGTTGTTTCTACCTAAGTAATTTAAGTAGGAATGGTGCAATGAATCATGCTGTTGTTTTCAAAGAGAAATGTAAGAATAGCAGTCTATGGGGAGAGCAGCACCTTGGCTCCAAGGAGTTTTGATCATTAATTAGGAGTCTGTCACATAAGCTTTGGTGTGCTTTATTTTTCCTTGGTTGTTGTGACGTGGGCTCTGTGTCGAGGTGTGTGTATGTGTATCTGTGTGTGATGAGACAGAGACGGCTGGAACTGAGGGGATACGGTTTTGTTTATTAAAACCTCTAGCCAGGGAGACCAATACAATGTAATTATTTTAAATTTTAGCGACATTAAGAGCAATTTGAAAAATCAGAGTTTTTGTTTTGGCAACTCCTTCATTAGAAAAATATGCACTGATTTTTTAAAAATTGGGCTCTTTGGGGGTTATTTGTCCAAAGAAGGAAAATTGCTGTATCAAGTGCTCTAAGGGTGTGAGACCCTCTCATTCCTACTAGTAAATATACAAGCATGGAAAAATTCTGTATTTTAGGCACAAGAGTCATTTCTGTAAGTAATTTTGAGAGGCACAAATGAAAAGGGAGGACAAACTCAACTCAAAAAAAAATACAAAAATATTGAATGTAAAGTGTAATAGCCTGTCCATGTTTCGGGATGTTTATCTGAGGTCACATCTTCAAGGTTTTCAAGCCGACTAAGTAACAGTGAAGCAGCAACATAATGAGAGAAACAACTGCTAACAGCTTCCCAATCCAAACTCAAGAGGCGCCTGAGTAATAGTAGAATTGAAAATTAAGTCTCTCTACTCACTCATGGGGAGGTAGAGTTGGCTGGTAGCAAATATTCTCAGACACAGTCACTATTTGCAGGGCTCTTCTCATAACTGTTAGCATGCCTGATCTTCTTCATCTTGCAAGATAGATAGTACTATTATTTTTCAGAGTAGAAAACAGGGGCAAAGACAGATTACAAAATTTACTTAAATCATACAATCCTAAATCATGATTTCAGTTTTAATCCTTTTGCCTCCAAAGACTTGTCTTTTTGCTCTATGTCACTCTTGGCAATCAACAGGCTCTTTGGGCTCCCAAATTCCCCAGAAAGCACTTCTTTCTTTAATAAATAAGGTCACTGATTTGGAGGGGCCAAAATTTTTTTAGTTTCATTTTGATTTGAATTATCCTTTGAGAGGCCTATGTGGGATTAAAATGTGGCATCTTTTAACCTTAAAAAGTACAAATAATGGGCAGCACTGTGGCTAAAGGAGTCGGGTGCCATCCTCATATACCGAAGGTGGTGAGTTCAAACCCAGCCCTGGCCAAAAACTCCAGGAAAAAAAAAAAGTACAAATAACTTTTTAATAGTTTCAGTCTAATTTTCCAGAAGTCATTTCAGTTATAATCTTCTTCTTAAGCACTTTAACTGTTCCTATCTGTGTCAGTCCTAAATAAATCAGATCAGGAAATTGCTTTAGACATTGTCTAGCCAACAGGCAGGACCCTCAGGAATAACATTTACACTTGTTAATTTCAGCCTGGAATGTTTTCCCAAACAGTCTCTTCCCAAGAAGAGATGCTGGAGGAATGTGGAGTTCAAAGAAAGAAATACAATAGACCAGCTCTGCTCTAAACCCTTTTAATTTCCCTCTCTGTCCCACCTTTCCTCTATCATCCCTCCTTCCTTGTTTAATAAGACTAAAGAATATGAATAAGTAGTTATGGGAGACTGGTGATAGTAGTATGTGGGATGGTTGTGAAAGAGTTTTCCCCCCCAAAATTTCTGTGAGGGGCCCAGATTTTAGGTTAACAGCGCTACTGATGTTCTGCCATCTACTGATGGTGTGGGGAAGAGAGCCTCATGACCCCGACAAGACAGCCACTTGGGAGACAAGTAGTGAAAGAAAGCAGGCCAGAAACCCAATTGCATGACCACAGGAGACCCCTCCCCGCACTCCTGTAAATCTTCACAACCCTGACAAGAGTATAGCCATCCTGTGAGGACAAGAGTATAGCCATCCTGTGAGGACAGCTAGCGAGAGAAAGCAGGTCAGAGATCAAATGGTGTGGTCCCCAAAACCCCCTCCACACCTTTCTGGATTGCTTCAAGGCTGGCGTTCCTGGGAAACACCATATCTCTTATTTTGGTCCTGGCTGGCCCTAGAGATAAGGCCCTGGTGCAAGATTAACACCTTTTGGGAAGGTAGTGATTCTAAAATCAGCCTTGGACACAGCATCATTCACTCTGCAGGAAAAAGATGACTTCCCTCACCTCTCGAGACCCCTCTCCTACATTCAAACTACACTAATGAAAGTCTTCTGAAATTGTGTGAGGGGGCTGACTCCTCCATTCAGCTTCTTTAAAAGAAAGCCTTTCCTTAATCATTGGAATGGCCTCCTCTCCTTCTTGGGGACCCTCAGCCAGACTCTATCCCTAAACCTCTTAGATGGCAGAATTTAATCTTCAGTGATTTGTTAAAAAGTAACTTTGCCTTCCCATTTTCAGTATTAAAGCTCCCCTTCAAACAGAATGCCTCGGTATGTTTAATAATGAAGGTCCTTCCGATAGGGGACAAGAATGTTGAAGATGAAAACAATTTTAATGAGACAAGTAGTCACCTACATGTGAGGCCCAGCGACCATCTGAGATTGGCTAAAAGAGCTACCTGTCAGCTCACAGGTAGCTCCATCTGAAGATCTGAGGAATATTGCAAGTTATAGGAACAATACACTAGAACAGTGGTTCTTACCGGGGCCTGGAGATGATGTCATGTATTTAGGAAAGGCAGTTTAGGATTGTGTAGTTTAAATAAGATCCTTTGGTCTGTTAAGGTTTGTAAAGGCTTTCCTGCCCTAAGGCCTTTATAACAATGCACTAGTTTTTAATATAGTTCATTCATTTACATTCATTCCCTACATTTCTGTGTGCCTTGCATGTGCTAAGCGCTATGAATAAAATGGTAACCAAGACAGACACAATCCCTGCTCTCACTGAGTTTATAATTCAGTAGGGAGAGTAGACGATTAATAAGAAAAAATCCAATGAGGACTGTAAGCCCTGAGAAATTCTACGAAAGACATTGCATGTGCAAATGGTGATATCTGTGCTGGGTGTTAAAGGAGCAGTCATGACCAAGACAGGTGTAAAGGGAGGGAGAAGAAGGGAAACTGCCTCAGGCAGAGGGAATGGCATGTACAGACGTTCAAAGGCAGAGGATGTTGACATGCTTAGGAAGTGAAAGAAGCTCATGGGCTCTTAGAAGATAGATGCCAGACAAGGAGAGACCCAAGTGGCTAATGCTTTATATAGGTCTTCTGGCCTCCTCGGCTGTGCACTCTGCCTTGGTCAGGTGCCAGGTGGAATTAATAGGTGTTCATAGATCAGGAATATCTCAAGGGAAAGTGGGGCTGAGAGTGAGGAGGGTCATTGTGGTGGCATCAGCATCAGTTTTCTTTGTGTCATTGATGGATGAGTATAATTCTGTCATGTCTGGCCAGCATGTATGAGTTATTGCCCGTACTTCCCTAAGCATGAGTGTCATCTTCAGGGATTCTACTCTTGAGGGCCTATTAGTACAACCATTTTGGCTTGAGAATAGTTTATGTAAATACTTATAGTTGGTCTTTCCTGATATGAGGAATCAGCAGAAAAAGAGAAGTTAACAATTTAGAAGAAAAAGAAAGAAGTTGATGAAGTGAGAAATTGATGAAGTCATGTCTTGTCAGGGATGAGAGGATGGGATTCAGAGCCAAGAAGATGAATTTGGGGAAGGTTGAGGAGCGCACATGGGGTGCTCCGATGCAGGTGACTTTGTAAGTGAGTTGGCAGGAAATTGGGGGTAGTGATTTTATGGCTTCTGCTTTCCAAGGAAAAATCTGCTGAGAAGGAGGTGAAGCAAATTATTCATTCAATCATTATACATACACAGCATAAACACTGGTGATAGCCAAGCTTCTTCCACACTTTTCTGAGTGTCTCACATATGCTAGGTGCTGAGAATGGAATGGTAAACAACACAGACATATTTCCGTGATGCCTTAAATGCTACACAGAAAGATAAATTTGGAGGACAAACAAGGTGAACTGTTAAGTCCTGTGGACAAAATGGTATTTGTGTATTCTTTGAAGGATGCGTAATATTTCAAAAGATGAAATTTAGGGAAAATTCTTTTAAGGTGTGGGAAATGGTATGAATCAAAATGCACTGGGGAAAGAGAATGCATTTAGAGATAACGTGAGTACCAGTTGAATCTATAGAGTGTAAAATGATGAAAGGAGAGACGGGGTAGGCCAGACTGTGGGAGTGGTGAATACCTGGGTGAGGGGTCAAGGCTTTACTCTTGGGACCAGAGCTGTGCTCTAGGAAGCTCAACTTACTAGCACACTAAGGAGGGACCAGAGAGGGAGACTCAGGCCTGGAAAGCCCAGGTAGGAGGATATTGCAATAGTCTAGAAAAGAAGCGATAAGGACCTGCATGGACAGGGCAGTGAGGATAGTTGGGCGGGACACAGGAGACATTGTAGAGGAGGAATCTAAAGCAGTGGTTTCCCCAAACCCTTCTGGCTGGTGTGTTCATTTCTCTTACTTTTGGTATGGGGGTATAGGTGGGGACCCAAAATAGATATGTACAAGTTTAAATGGTTTTAATTCCAAGTTTAGCACACCTACATTGGAAACTAATTTTGTTTTTTTCAGCTGGGTTGTGTGTCTTTTTCTAATGACTTTGCTGGCATTCTGTAGTATGCAGTGAATGCCCCTTATTGGTCCATGCCTTCAAATATCACCTGCTAATCTGTGGCTTCTTTTGTACTGTGTCTTTTATAGTGCAGAGTTATAAATCTGAATGCAGCAAACTGTACATTTCATGTATTATGCCTAGTTTAGGAAATAATATCTCAAATCACAAAGATATTCCCCTGTTTTGTTTTTGGTTTTGGTTTTTGAGACAGACTCTCATTCTGTCTAGCCTGAGCTAGAGTGCCATCCATGGTGTC